CTCTTGGGCCCTAAAGTTGGGCGCCCGAGTTATCCGGGGTAACTCGGGTCCGGGGTAACTCGGGTTTGGGTTCCCGAAAAACGAACCCGAGTTAACCCTGACCCGAGTTATCCCTGATGATTCGGGGCTCTGGACGCCCGAAATATCCGGGGTAACTCGGGTCCGGGGTAACTCGGGTTCGGATTCCCGAAAAACGAACCCGAGTTATCCCTGACCCGAGTTACCCCTGATGATTCGGGGCTCTGATAAAGGGCCCCCCGAAAGGGCCAACCCCTCTTCGGCAGCCATCGCTCCCCCCCCGTTTCTCGTCCTCCATTGCGCGCCCTCCAACCAGCAGGCTTGCTCCTCCTCCTCCTCCTCCTCCTCCTCTTCTTCTTCTTCTTCTTCTTCTTCTTCTCCTTCTCCTTCTCCTTCTTCGTCTTTTTCTACTTATGCTTCTTCTTATTATTTATACTATTCTTATTATTATTTTTTTATTATTTTTATTATTATTACCATTATTATTATCATCATTCCTCCTCCTCCTGAGACCCATTCCCCGGGGCCGGCTTTTCATCCCGAGGCGTTCGTGGACAGTCCCGAGGCCAGGCGAAGGCCCCCACAGGCCGAAACTCCACCATCGTGCCTCCGGGCCCAGAGGTGGGGGCGTCCTCAGGGCATTTGCGCATCCCTCTAAGCCTCAGCCCTCAATCCTGGCAAATCGTTCAAGGGGCCCGGGGCCGAAATTGTCAAATCTCCTGGGGCTTCCCGTTCCCCTGGGATCCAGCGCGTGGTGGCGCGCGATTTGTTTCGGCCCAAGAGGGCCCCAAGACTGGCCAAGAGGGCCCCCAAAGGCCCCCGAGACGGTCCATGAGGGCCCCGACTCGCAGAACGACCGCTCGAAGACGCCCAAGATAGCCTCAAGATGGCCTCAAGATGGCCCGAGAGGCCTCCAAGACGCACCATTTCTTTTTACCGACGCTCCAAGAAGGCCGAAGAGGCCGCCAAGATCACCCCAAGACGGCCCAACAAACCTCCGAGAGGGCCCCAAGAAGCCGTCTCGGTTTCTGGACGTTCCCGACGGCTGTTCTGATTCAGCCGCGTATCTTTGCATGACATCACGTGTTAAGTGTGTTTTCTTTATTGTGTCGCCCATTTCTGTTCAACGGTATATATATATATATAGATTTGTTTGTTTGTTTATTTGGTTCGTCTCATCCTTTTTGGCTCAATGTTTCGCTAATGTTCTGCCCCCGCCGTGAGCGGGCGATCGCTCTTTGCCCAGACTAATCAGAAAGCACGCAGTGGTTCTAGCGAACTACTCCCAGAGCGTCACTGCAACGCTGCTCTGGAAGCTACCCCCAAACGCCTCAGACTCAGGCGTAATCCTTGCAAGCCTTCCCGAACGCCACCAGGCGGTCCTCCTTCTTGGTCACGAACCAGTACTGGTACTCACGAACGTACTGCATCACATCAGATCGACGAACGTGTCGAGGTTTCGCCCATTGCTTGTAGTTGCCGAAGAAGCCGTCCATGTATTGCGTCCCTCCCCATAGCTTCTTCCCGTCGATATTGAACATCTTCGTCCACTCTTCCTTCCCATGAACGACGGCGATCTGCTTCGCTCGATTGCCGAAGATCTTCCTCTTGTTGACAAGGGAATCGTACGTAGCAGCGGAGTCGCTGGAAAGAATGCCAGACTTGAAGTGCTTAGTCAAGAACTTCTTCCCCTCTGGGATGGACAGAGCTGGCGGGCCAGGTGGCACCAACCTCTTGCCGTCGAACTTGATTGTCCCCCGGCTCATCGTCTTCTGCGACCCCTTGATCCTGTACCTCTGCTTCCTGATGGGCAGCTGCTCGATCACGATGTTACGGGACCCGCGAACCAGCAAAGCTATGATGCGCGTGTGAGCTTTACGCCCCCCTGGAGCATTTCGCCCCGTATCTGGCTGGAGCATCTCGCCCCCGCGTGATCTGGAGCATTTCGCCCCTACGTGATCTGGAGCATTACGCCCCTTGGAGCATTTCGCCCCGTATCTGGCTGGAGCATTTCGCCCTTACGTGATGTGGAGCATTCCGCCCCCTGGAGCATTTCGCCCCGCACCTGGCTGGAGCATTTCGCCCCTATGTTATCTGGAGCGTTACGCCCCGCCTTCTCTCCCGTCAACTGTAGTTTGGGGGCGGTGGTAACTTAAAATACTCCGTGCAATAGCTGCGCTTCACCTGTGCTTCACATTCACCACGGGCACACGACGCAAGTGGGACAAATGAGGAAGGGGGACAACGGAGGGGAAGGAAAACAACGAGGAAGAAGGGAGGAGGAGGAGGGATGACTGGAACAGGGCACGGTGTGAACTACATGGTCGCACCCCCCGAAGATCTACGTTTTGGCGGGTTCTGAGATGAACCTTCGAGTTGTCTGTCTCTCCTCGCCGCTTCCTCGCCCCTTCCTCGCCAGGATTGTCCTCGCCCCGCCCTCGCCTGCAAGCCCCCGCTAACCTGGCCAGGCGTTTTTTTTTCTGGTCTGGGAGCTCACAGAACCTGGCCAGGCGTCGTTTTTTCTGGTTTTTCTGGTCTGGGAGCCCACAAAACCTGGCCAGGCGTTGTTTTTTCTGGCTTGTCTGGTCTGAGGGCTCAGAAAACCTGGCCAGGCGTTGGTTGTTATGTTTTGTTCTGGTTTGACGGCAGTAGTTCGCAAGCCCCCAACCTCCAGGCCAGGTTCTGTGGGCTCCCTGACCAGAAAAACCAAAAAACCAACGCTTGGCCACGTTTTCTGAGCCCCCAGACCAGAAAAACCAGAAAAACTAACGCCTGGCCAGGTTTTCTGAGCTCCCAGACCACAAAAACCAGAAAAAAAAAAACAACGCCTGGCCAGGTTTTCTGAGCTCCCAAACCAGAACAACCAGAAAAACCAACGCCTGGCCAGGTTTTCTGAGCTCCCAGACCAGAAAAAACCCGAAAAACCAAAGCCTGGCCAAGTTTTCTAAGCCCCCAGGAGGAGGAGGAACGGGAGAAGGAGGAGGACGAGAGAGAGAGAGAGAGAGAGACAGAGAGAGAGAGAGAGACAGAGAGAGAGATAGAGAGAAGAGACAGAGACAGAGAGATAGAGGGATAACGGAAAAAAGGGTGGGGCACCGAGGTTGAAGGAGGGAGATCAAAGGATGGTCTTGGGCAAACCACCGCGGCTGTGGGCAACGATGTTCAGCGAAGCCTTTCAAAACGATCGGTCTCAAGACAACACAAAAACGACGGGAACGTTCAGAAACCGAGACGCCCCCAAGAAGGCCGAAGAGCGCCCCGCGACGGCCCAAGTGGCGCCCAAGACGACCCCAAGAAGGGACCCAAGAGAGGGAACACGAACCGAAAATCCGAGCCTTCCGCCCCAAGAGGCCAGAAGGCGGCCCCAAGAGGCGCCCAAAAGGCTCCAAAACGGCCCCCAAGAGGCCGCACAACTTCCTCCCAGAGGCCCCCGAGAGGCCTCCCACGATATCCCAACCAACATCCAACAGGCTTCATACCCACAACCCGGGCGGGCCGAAGGCCATTCGACGGCAAAAAACCTCCATCGTGCTTGTTCCACGGCGCCAGGGGGTCTAGAGGAAAGCAGAGGGGGAGAGGGGAGGATTCGGTGGCAACTCATGGGAGCCTCCCATACCATCTTGTCAGCCCTGACGAATCGACGCTAATCGGCGCTAGTTGACGCCAAATCGACGTTCACCGACGCTGGCCGACGCTACACCTGCGCTATTCCGTCGACTCCCAGACGCTGATCGACCCTAATCGATGCCAAAGACGGAATTGAGAGGGTAAAGTGCGGACGCGGCCGTCAGAAACCCTCGCAAGAAACCCAACCCCGAAGACCCGCGCGGGAGGTGCGACTGGGGGGAAGCTCGGGGCACCCTGAACACGCAGCAGCTTCTTAACAGCCGCGGGAAGTCACCGCGCAGCGCGCAGATCGAAGAAACCCAGGATACCCTGGCGACAAGCATTTGGTTCCTCGATGCGCGCCCACGCTGTATACCAGCCCCCCCCTCCTCCTCCTCCTCCTCCTCCTCCTCCTCCTCCTCCTCCTCCTCCTCCTCCTCTCCTCCTCCTCTCCTCCTCCTCCTCCTCCTCCTCCTCCTCCCTCCTCCTCCTCCCCGTCCTCCTCCACGTCCTTCTCCTCCTCCTCCTCCTCCTCCTGCTCTCCTGCTCCTCCTCCTCCTCCTCCTCCTCCTCCTCCTCCTCCTCCTCCCCTCCTCCTCCCCCTCCTCGTCCTCCTCCATGATTTGCTACCGAAGGAGGGGAAAGGCCCCGGGCATGCCCCTCCCGTCCTGGTCCTCCCCCCTCGCGGGCGCGCAAACATGGATTGGCGATGCATGGATTTGGCGCGCGGTCGCCACATCCATGCATCGGAGGAGGTGCCCTCCCCAAAGTGCGGCCGGTGCCGCCTCGCTCGGCTGCGGAGATCCGCGATGAGCCATGGAAACGGGACCCGTCGCTGATCAACGCCCCCCCGGCCTGCCCCTCCCGTCGTGTTGGCTGCTCATTCTGGGGACCTTCCTGAAGCCACCCGCTCCACTCGTGCGTCGAAGCTGCGTCGAACGTCCGTCGATTCGGGCCGATCTTGAGTCGAGCCCGAGTCGAACCTGAGTCGAACTTGAGTCGAGCTGGGGTCGAACAGACCCGTTCGGTGGGCCCCAGAAAGGTCCCCCAGGCGAGCATCGAGCCTGCCCCCCTCCCGTCTTGGGGGGCGGAAAGATACGGATACGTGTTGTCCCCGGACCTCTCTTGGGGTGCGTTCTGACCAGAATTTCGAGGCGAATCCAGCGGTGACAACGAGGATTCCCCAGGAGGACCAGGAGAGGCCGAAAACGAAGGGGGACAACACGTATCCGTATCTTTTTCTCCCCCGAAGAAAGGTCCCCCTAAACGAGCATCGAGCCTGCCCCCCTCCCGTCCCGGTCCCCCCCTGCCCCCCGCCCCCGCACGGAGAGAGCGAGAGAGAGCAGCTCGTCGTGGCGTGCGGCCGCGGGGGGCACCGCTGGAGCGAGACCACCACGTCCGTGTCGACCTGGGCGAGGCGCCCTCGGCGCCTCCTCTTCCCTGCCCTTCGCGTGCTCCTTACCTCCCATCGTCCTCGTCCTCGTCGTCGTCGTCTTCATCCTCGTCGTCCTCGTCCTCCTCCTCGTCCTCGTCCTCCTCCTCGTCCTCCTCCTCCTCCTCCTCATGATCATGGTCCTGGTCGTCCTCGTCGTCCTCGTCGTCGTCCTCCGTCTCCTCCTCCTCCTCCTGCACCTCCCCCTTCCCTGGTCATGTTCCCCCTCTCCCTCCTTCTCCTCCTTCCCCTCATCATCATCACAATCATCACAATCATCACTCCGTCCTCTAAAACGATCGTGGTTCTCGAAAGCCTTCGAAGAGAATGGGGAGGCTTAACAGTAAATTTACGATGGCTGCGCGCCCTCATCCCGTGGGTAGCCCCCGCTTTGCTGCTACCAACCAACTTGGCACACTATGAGCACGAAGCTGTTACCGGCAACTGTGATGATGTGGCTATCACACTTTGAATACCTTCTCATGCATTTGCCCACCACGCAAATTCAGTAATTCACTATACGGCCCCTGTCTGTCTCATGATCCTCAATATCTGATGTCTCAGCGCCCGCTGTTCATCATGTTCATGTTCGTCCCTCCCATCATGTTCATGTACGTCGTCATCCTCCTCCTTGTTAGTCTCATGGAGATGTGCCCCAAGACGGCCATGGTGTTGGCACATCGCCCCACGCAGAGGTGGCTGCTTCGGCGCGCGCTTACCCTGGACCCGTACATGGCCGACCTCGCGCACGAGCTCCACATGGAGCCCTTGCAGGCGCCGGCCACGGGCAAGGTGTCGGCCACCTGGAACCCAGTCCACCAAGGGCTCGTTCGCGCAATTGTCGGCAACGGCACCCGGGACGCAGCCGCAAGACACCATCGCAAGAAACCCGGCCCTGCAAACCCGCGCGCGAGCTGCACACGGGGGGGAGCCCAGAGCACCCCGAACACAGCAGCTCCTTCAGCGGCCGCAGGCTGTCACCGCGCAGCGCGCGGAGCGACGAAACCCAGGGCACCCTGGCAAAAAGCAGCCTTCCGAGGAGGAGGAGGAGGAGGACTAGTCGTACTACTGCTACGACTACCAGACCTCCTCCTCCTCCTCCTCCTCCTCCTCCTCCTCCTCCTCCTCCTCCTCCTCCTCCTCCTCCCCCGTCCTCCTCCTCCTCCTCCTCCTCCTCCTCCTCCTGTTTCTTGCTGCGCGCCCCCACTGCACGTCCATGCTGCGGCGGCGCGGCGGGCACCCTGCAGCGCACCGCCCGGGGCAGCCGCCCCACCGCGCGCGCGGGGGGGGGCGCGACCGTGGCCTGCCCGCGAGCCTGCTGGATCCTGCAGCCTCGCAGCCCGACTGGTGTGAAGGGGAACTGGGACACACAAATAAATACACACAAATAAAACTATTCCCCATATTTTCCTATATTTTCTGGGTTTTTGTCTTCCTGCCCAATTCCCATATTTTCCCATATTTTCCTGGGAATCGACGATTAATTGTGTCTGTGTGTTTTTTCCCCTCCTGAAACTGGTGCTTCTGGCGGCGTGGGCTCGTGCCCGGCCCTCGCACGCTCCTCCCTGGCCAGGCAGCAGAGCAAGCAACGTGCTGAGCTGGCGGCTTCCCAGATGGGTTCCGAGTAGATGGGGTCGAAAGATCGCGCCGCAGCGCCCACGCATCGCCGATGCATCGGCGATGCACCGGCGATGCCCTGGCGACGTCGGCGATGCACCGGCGATGTGGGCGTGGAAGACGTCGGGCTCCGCATCGAGCCGCATCGCCGATGCATCGGCGATGCGGCGAGAACCTCCGACCACATCTGCTCGGACCCCATCTGGGAGGCCTTCGTGAAGGGGCCCCAGGACACACAAATAAATACACACAAATAAAAAGATTCCCCATATTTTCCCATATTTTCTGGGTTTCTGTCTTCCCCCCCACTTCCCATATTTTCCCATATTTTCTGGGGAATCGAGGATTAATTGTGTCTGTGTGTTTCTTTTCCTCCTGACTTCGGACCTAGGCCAGAAGACCATCCTCCAAGAGCATGAGACCATCCGCCGGCCGAAACACACAGCAGATCCAAAGGTACTTACTCCCCCCCAGGACGCACAGACGCATCCAACAGACACGAAGAACACTGGGATGCCCTCCCCGAACCAACCTCGATCTTATACCTCGGTCCGGCTGTACGAAACGCACCTGAACACATAGCCACTACCACGTGGAGTCGCAGTACTTACCGACAGCGACCCGCCACGCTGTGGCCGAAGGAACGGTGTCCTGTCAGCGCGCCGGAAGGGCTCCCCGGCCCCTGCTCCCTTCCCTGCCGCGTGGGACGTGCGCCCCGCCGACGGCACGCTGGAGAGCGATGTACTCTAAGGAGCCGAGCTCAATACACCGACGCCTTTGTGTGGCCTCACACTGAATCTCGCACAGATAAAGCGGATCCTGGTGTATACGTGATCCTGGAGTACACCTTCTTCGTTGTTTCCCCGGGAAAATGGGGAAGTATACACCACACCACCCCGACGTCGTCCCCGACCCGCAAGATAGTCCTGGGATTGAAACACCGCCCGCCACTGGTAATGTATATGCTCCAGTTTCCGATGTCCGGTGACGGATCAGGTTTTGCCGCGCTGAGCGGGGATAGAGGAAAGAGAACTATGCACATACACCGATTCTGGCCAGGCCCATCCTGAGCCCAGGATCGGTGCATACGCCCTCCTACCTTGGCTAGCAAGGCATATGCACCGATCCTGGGTCAAGGATGGTTCTTGCCAGGATCGGTGCATGTGCAGAGTTCCCTTCTCGGAAGCTGGGCGAGGGCTGCTGAAAACGTGGCTGCTAAAACGGCCCTCCCGGAAGGAAAAAACAGCTCCCCGGAATGAGGCGCGGCACGCGAAACAGTCAGCGGGCTTCTTCCCCGGAAGGACGAAGACAACTTCCCGGAGGTCGATTTTGGCAGCCACGGATTTAGCAGCCCTTTAAAACAGGGCTAGGATCGGGATAAATCGCTCCAGAGCGTTCCGGAGCGCTCTCAGAGCGTTCCGGAACGCTCTGGAGCGGCCGCGGCGCCCAGTACATCCTCCAAACCCGCCGATTCTCAGAGATTTCGAATTATCCCGATCCGATTTTGTCCCGATCTTCGCGTCGTTTGACCGCTTGCCCCGCCTTCGACCTTCGCCACGAGGGGATGCCCCCTTCCTCCGAAAAGGCGGCTGGGCCATGTCGCTCCCCGCTTGTCACACGGCCCGTGCCCTAGTGCAACGGGCCCCGTGCTGTGCGCCATCGTCCGTGGAGCACCCGCGGCGACACTCCGGGCTCGATCGGCGGCGCGAAAAGGAGGAAGGAGGGATGAAAGGAGTAGGGAGGGAGTGAGGGAGGGCGGGAGAATGGAGTGAGGAGGAGGATGTGAGGAGGAGTGAGGAGGAGGAGGAGGAGGAGGAGGAGGAAGAGGGCCGGGACCGTGCCGCCGTCGGGCACCGTCCCTGCCCCCCCGGCACACGGGCCCGTGCCTGGGCACCTGCAGGACGCGGAGGCCGCGGAGGGCTGGGCCCGCCCTCCCTGCCTGCCCGAAGTTCCGCGGCGTGGCAGACACGGCTTTCCCCCAAACGTGCAATGGGGTTACCGTGCTCCTCCCTGCCGCGTCGCACCCGCGCCTCCCTCACGCGCCTCCCTCCCTCCCTCCCTCCTCGCTTCCTCGCCCTCTCCCACCTCACCCACGCGCAACACATGCACGGCACGTACATGAGACACGCGTCTACATGCAGCCGCACGCATGCACACACTCGCGCACACACACACACGATGCAACGCCAGTGCACACATGCACGGCACGTACATGAGGCACGCGTCAACACACAGCCGCACGCCCGCGCACACTCGCACGCACACGCACTCATATTATCAACGCTAGTGCACGCCTGGCGTATTCAATGCGTCGTACACCCACGACGTATGCGCCAAATACTGGGCACCCACATGAGATACACGTCCAGATAAGCCGCACACGCATCATACACATGACACATAATGGGCACCCATATGAGACACACGTCCAGATACAGCCGCACACGCATCATACACATGACACGCACACCACACAACACATGCGCGCAAGATTAGCAAGGCGTGGCAGGCGTGGCACTTTCTCGACACCAGAGGGGGTGAGCAGGAGGTGGTCCCACGGCGCTGTCTTTATGCGCTGCAGGAGGTGCTGCACTTTCTCCACACCACAGGGGGTGCGCAACGGGTGGTCCATCAGCGCTGTCTCTATGCGTCCCAGGATCGCGGGGCGTGGCAGGCGGGGCACTTTCTCCACACCACAGGGTGTGCGCAAAGGGTTGTCCCTCACTGCTGTCTCTATCCGTCCCAGGGTCACGGGGCGTGGCAAGCGTGGCACTTTTTTCTCCACACCCCAGGGTGTGCGCAGGGGGTGGTCTCTCACCGCGGCCTCTACCCGTCCCAGGGTCTCTGGGCGTGGCAAGCGTGTCACTTTCTCCACACCACAAGGGGTGCGCAGGAGGTGGTCCCTCACCGCGGCCTCTATCCGTCCCAGGGTCGCGGGGCATGGCAGGCGTGGCCTCCCCACACCATGCGTACGGCGTGGTTCCTCACCGCGGTCCCTATCCGTCCCAAGGTCGCGGGCCGTGGCAAGCATATAATTTTCTCATAGCGAGTCCTGTTCAGAATGAGCAAGCACTGCTGTTGGGCATCGTACCCGTTCTTCCAATAATTACCCGTTTGGGGATCTACTGAACTGGGTCAATCTGGACCCGGGTCAGTCAGGCCTTGCAAAATACCTGCAAGATCCTGCGGGATCCTGCACCCAAGCCCGGGTCAATGCAACCCTGATTCTGCAGGATCCTGCAAAATCTGGCGTTCTGACTGACCCCCGTTTGCATCGACCCCCGTCTGTTGAGCCCCGACCCGTTCCGCTCGTCCCGACACCAGGGCGCCGGCGGAGGCTTGCCGAGGGCGCGTCGCGAGGCAGAGCCGCCACCGCCTCCCGCTCCCTCCGGCCGTGGGGGGCGCCGGGACCCCCGCACAGCGCCGAGGGACCCCCGCACAGCGCCGAGACTCCTCGGGCGACCGTCGGCCTCTCGGCCTCTCGGCGAGCGTCGGCCCTGGACGCCACATTTCCGGGGACCTCCTCGTCTGGCCCGACGGCGGGGGCGGCAGCGGTGGTGCAGCGCCGGCATCCTGGGCCGCTCGCCGAGGCGCACGCCATACCCTTTCGCCTTCTCCGCCTCCTCGGGCGAACGACCAACACACACGCACACACGCACACACGCACACACGCACACACGCACACACGCACACGCGCACGCGCACGCACACGCAAACGCACACGCACACGCACACGCACACAGCGGGGCGCTGCCTCCTCCTCGTGGGCGGCGTTGCGCAGCAGGGCCTCGGCGGCGGGGGCGCAGCCGAACTGCACCTGCGGGGGGCGCGGCCTCCGAGCGGAGCCCCCTCCTCCTCCTCCTCCTCCTCCTCCTCCTCCTCCTCCTCCTCCTCTCTCCTCCTCCTCCTCCTCCTGCCTCCTCCTCCTCCTTCGTCCATCATCATCATCATCATCATCATCATCATCAGCATCATCATCATGATCCGCATCGCATCGCATCAGCATCAGCATCAGCAGCAGCATCGCATCAGCCTCAGCATCAGCATCAGCATCAGCATCACACCCAGCATCATCATCAGCACCTCATCAGCATCAGCATCATCAGCATCATCATCATCACATCATCATCATCATCTCATCATCATCATCACTCATCATCATCACCTCATCATCATCATCTCATCATCATCATCATCATCATCATCTCATCATCATCATCATCATCATCATCATCATCATCCTCTCAATCATCATCACTCACCATCAGCACTCATCATCACCACCATCATCATCATCATCACGTCGTCATCATCACCACCACCAACAGCATCATCATCATCATCATCATCATCATCATCAATCTCATCATCATCATCATCATCATCATCATCATCATCATCATCATCATCATCATCATCATCATCATCATCAACATCATCATCATCATCATCATCATCATCATCATCATCATCATCATCATCATCATCTACATCATCATCATCATCATCATCATCATCATCATCATCATCATAATCATCATCATCATCATCATCATCATCATCATCATCATCATCATCATCATCATAATCATCAACATCATCATCATCATCATCATCATCATCATCATCATCATCATCATCACATCTCATCATCAACACCATCATCATCATCATCATCATCATCATCATCATCATCATCATCATCATCATCATCATCATCATCATCATCATCATCATCGATCATCATCATCCTCATCATCATCATCATCATCATCATCATCATCATCATCATCATCATCATCACATCATCATCATCATCATCATCATCATCATCATCATCATCATCATCACATCATCATCATCATCAGTCATCATCATCTCTCATCATCATCATCATCATCCTCATCATCATAAGCAATCATCATCCTCATCATCTCATCATCATCGTCATCATCATTATTGTCAGCATCATCAACAGCATCATCATCATCATCATCATCGGCATCAGCATCAGCATCATCATCAGCGCCATCAGCACCATCAGCACCATCATCATCATCATCATTATCATCATCACCATCTCATCATCATCATCATCATCATCATCATCATCATCATCATCATCATCATCATCATCATCATCATCATCATCATCATCATCATCATCATCTTCCTCCTTCGCCCCCTCCTCCTCCTCCTCCTCCTCCTCCTCCTCCTCCTCCTCCTCCTCCTCCTCCTCTTGGGCTTTTGGGCCGTTCCTTGGGGGGGGGCAACTCTGAAGGGGCCCAGGGACACGCAAATTCGCCGGCCCAACGGGCCAGAGGCGTGCTAAAATCTCTGCGGGGCCCTCGCGGGGTCGGTGGGGCCCAGGCTGTCGCTGACGAGCTCGCTGCTGGCCGACTCCTCGCCCTCGCGGATCGCCTGCACGCAGGCCCGCGCGAGCTCCCGCTGACCAGCGCCCACATCCAGACCTGAGGGCGCCGCGTCGGGGGCGGGCTCCAGCGCGCCGCGGGCAGCCTCCGCGCCGCTCGGGGCCCTGAGCTTCGCAGCCCGCTCCAGCAGAAGGTCGCCGAGCAAGCGCTCCTTGAGCGGGGGCCCTCCAGCGCCCGCGGCAGCCTCCGCGTCGGCCGAGAGACCCGCGTCGACGAGCCCGCGCTACTGCGAGTCGAAACGCGCGCGGCCTCCAGCTCCCGCAGCGCGTCCGAAGCCGCAGGCTCCCTGCCGCCCAGCTCCGACTCGCCATCCGACAGGGCCAGCGAGGGGGCACCCAGCCGTCCGTCGAAGGGGCCAGCCCCAGGCGGACCAGGCAAGTCCTTGGGCGAGGCAGCGGGCCGCCTGGGGGCCACAGCACCCTGCGCGGCCTCCAGCGGCAATCCTGGAGCCCAGGCAGGCTGCGGACGCGCCGGGGGCGGCGCGTCCCCCCCCCCCCCCCTAGGGGGGGGAAGGGATATACCCATACAGGCAAGCCTGCAGAGTGACATATACACATGTGTATATCTAGAGAGAGAGAGAGAGAGAAAGAAAGAAAGAAAGAAAGAGAGAGAGAGAGAGAGAACCCCCAAGCATAAATTCTCGCCAGCCCTCACTCACGACGGTGGTGTTCTTCGTTTCCTCCTCTTCCGCCTCCTCGCCTTTCGCTCTCTCTTATCTCCCTCTTGATCTCTCTCACTCTCTGTCTCTATTCTCTCTCTCTCTTTCTTTATTTCTCTCTATCTCTTTCCGCTCTCTCTCTCTCTCTATATATATTGGTGTCTCTGAGTGTACATCTCTCGTTCTCTCTCTCTCTCTCCTGTTGTCTCTCATTCACTCCCTTATATCGAGTTCCCTCTCTCCCTCTCTTTTCCCTCTCTCTCTCTTGTTCCTCTTCCTGTCTCTTGATCAATGCTTCTCTCTCTTTCTCTCTCTTCCTCTCTCTCTCTCTCTCTTCCTCTCTCTCTCTCTCTTGTGTGTTCTCTCTCTCTCTCTCTCTCCCTCTCCCCCCAGGCACGCAATACAATCCCCGTGAAACACACCAGATTTGCGACGTCAGGGGTGCGGAAACGCTGTGATATCATGTAGATGTGTTGGATGTCTGGGACGAGAAGCGAGGACAACTATGTTGAGCCTAAGATGGTTCCAACTGGAATTGAAGTAGAATTGAAGTGGAATTTGGCGCATCCCACATACAGCTAAGTCCATCTGGGATTCCGACTGGAACCTATTTAAGATCCAATTGGGGTGGAGCGGTTCCCAGATCCAGCTGGTTCCAATGTGACCCGTATTGGAATCGAAGTATAATATAAATAGAATTGCGTAGATCCCAGATCCAGCTGATTCCAAGGATATTCCTGTTGGAATATGATTCGAATCGAGTTGGGATTGGCCAGATCCCAGATCCAGCCAGTTCTAGTTGGATTCCTGATGGCGTCGAAATATAATCGAAGTGGAAATGAGCAGGTCCCAGGCCGAGCTGATGTCAGGTTATTCCAAGAAGAATATGATTGACATGTAGCAGATCCCAGATCCATATGATTCTAACTTGATTCCTATTCGAGTGCGATAAGAGTATGCTTCGAATTGGGCACATCCCAGACCCAGCTGAACCCAATTGGGATTCCGATTGGGACCGAGTTAGACTTGAACAGATCAGAGATCCAGCTGATTCCAATGTGATCACTGGCACCGAATTGGGATGTAATAGGAATTGAGCAGGTCCCAGATCCCGTTTCTACTGGAATCGAACTAATATCTAATTCTACTGGAACGGATCCTAGATGCGGTTGTTTCCAATTGGACTCCTATTGAAATCGACCTTCAAACTCGAATGGAATTGAGCAGATTCCAGGTGCAGCCGATTCCGATTAGCTTCCTGTAGGGATTTCGTTCGAATCTAATTCGGGTGGGGAGGATCCCAGATCCAGCTGATTACTGGCTGACCCCTATTTAAACCGAATTAGAATACCAAGGACTTGCGCAGATCCAACATCCAACTGATTCCAATTAGAGAACTGACGGGTCGGACAGATGGACGAGCACGCACGGATGAAAAGAATGGGTGTTGGGGGGCTGCGCATACACGCGCGTCTATACAGATTATCATACGCACCTCTCCGAGGGAGTAGAGCTCAGAAGCGATTAATGCGCACGCGTCCGCGATTGTTCTGGCCGTTTCGCTCGGGACATCCTCGAAATTCTGAAAATCGGTGGCACCCCACACGCAGATCGTGACGTCAGGGTCCAAAAAACACAAGGGAACTTCAACATTTTAACATACAACCTTAAAAACACATGGTAATTTCAATAATTGTGACCCCGATTCTCAGAGAATGGCGGTTTCGAATGAAAAATCCTCCCAAAATCGAGCCCCAGACCCCTCCTCGGAGCCTCCTGGGGGCCTCCTGGAACCTCCTGGGACCTCCTGGGGCTTTCTGGACCTTCTGGTACCCCAGACCCCGCCTCGGAGCCTCCTGGAGTTCTCCTGGGCCTGCTGAGGCCGCCTGGGGCCTCCTGGGGCCTCCTGGGGCTTCAGAACTACATGCACACACAGAGACACAAATCACGCCCAACACATCACACGCTAGACAAACATAACATACACACACAACACCGACAACACACAAAAAGCACGCACCACACAAAGCACACATCACACACACAACACTCGCAATCCTGGGGCCTCCTGGAGCCTCTTCTGGTATCCAAGTCGGGCCTCCTGAGGCTTCCTGGGGGGCCCTGGTACACACATCGCAAGGTGTGGCAACCCCACTTGCGCTCGAGTGCGACTTCGCTGTTGCATGTCACTCCTGCTTCAAACGCCCCTTCAGCTTGTTGTATGAGCCTGGGCACACACGTGCCACTTGTATATATATATATATATATACATATATATATACATATATATATATATATATGTATAAATACATATAAATTTGCACACATACCTACCTACCGAACTACCTACATTCATTCATACATACGCATAGTTACACATATAACCAAGCAATAAACCAAACATACATACGTATGATCCAATGTTGCCGCCCCCCTCTCCCCCAATGCATATGGGATCGAGCCCCCTCCCCAACTGGATGGGTACGACCGTGAGCCTCGCGAAAGCCTCGCGAATGGGATCGCTCCCCCACCTGTGGTCGTGGCCCTGTGGGCGTGGCGCGGTGGAGGGTGCTGGTACACCACCCCCTTCCCCTGTGAGTGTGTGTTGGTTCGTCGTCGTCGTCGCCGTCGGCGCCATCGTCGGCGTCGTCGTCATCGTTGTTGTCGTCGTCCGTCGGCGTCGGCGTCGGCACTCGCGTTGGCGTGGGCGTCGGCGTCGTCGGCGTCGTCGGGTGCGTCGGCGTCGGCGTCGGTGTCGGCGGCGGCGGCGGCGTTGGCGTTGACATCGTCGTCGTCGTCGCCGTCGTCGTAGGCGGCGGCGGCGGCGTCGGCGGCGTCGTCGGCGTCGGCGTCGGCGTCGGCATCCGCGTGGCGTGGGCGTCGGCGTGGGCGTCGTCGCCCCCCCCATCCCATCTGGGAGGGGGGGCCCTGTGGAAACCTGGGGCCCATCCCATCTGGGGTGGCTGTGAACCCTCAACCTGGGATCATTCTATGTATGCATATATGCACAAACACATACGATCATACATACATGTCTATATCTATCGGAGGTGAGGGGGTGAGATCGAAGTGGAACGCAGAGCCCCCCCTACCAGGAAATCGATTTCGGTTTCGTGTTCGTGCGTGCCGTGCGGGCGAGGCGGAACTGCGTGGGCGGGCGAGAGAAAGTCTCCTGTGGCTGAGGCGCGGCCAGACCAAATGACTCCCTTCCGGGCGGCCGGTGGCCCGCGGTGTCCCGCCGGTGTCCCGCTGGTGTCCCGTTTGGCTGAGGCGCGGCCGGACCAAATGACTCCCTTCCGGGCGGCCGGTGGCCCGCGGTGTCCCGCCGGTGCCCCGTCGGTGTCCCGCGGTGTCCCGCGGTGTCCCGCGGTGCCCCGCGGTGTCCCGCCGGTGTCACGCGGTGTCCCGCGATGATGATGATGATGATGATGATGATGATGATGATGATGATGATGATGATGAGATGACGATGGCGATGATGATGATGATGATGGTGATGGTGATGCTGATGATGATGCTGCTGATGATGATGGTGATGCTGATGATGATGATGAGGACGATGATCATGATTATGATGATGATGATGATGATGATGATATGATGATAATGGTGTCCCGATGATGATGAGTATGATGATGACGATGATGATGATGTCGATGATGATGATGATGACGATGATGATGATGCTGATGGTGTCCCGATGATGAGAGTGAAGATGATCATGATGATTATGTTGATGATCATGATGATGACTACGATGGTGTCCCGATGATGATGAGTATGATGATGTTGATGTTGATGATGTTGATTATGATTGTGCCCCGATGATGATGATGATGTTGATGATGATGATGAGGTTGATGATGATTATGGCGTCCCGATGATGATGATTCTTCTGATGGTCATGATGATGTTGATGATGATGGCGTCCCGATGGTGCTGATGATGATGATGATGTTGATGCTGATGTTGGTAATGATGATGATGGTGCCCCGATGATGACGACGATGATGATGATGCTGATGATGATGTTGATGATGCTGATGATGATGATGTCGATGATGAGGATGAGATGATGATGGTGTCCCGATGATGATGATGATGGTGCTGATGATGATGATGATAACGATGGTGATCATGATGGTGCCCCGATGATGATTCTGCTGCTGATGATGATGACTATGACTGTGTCCCGCTGCTGATGATGATTTTGATGATGATGATGATTGTGATGATGGTGATGATGATGATGGTGGTGTCCCGATGATGTTGATGACCGCCGTGATGATGATGATGATGATGATGATGATGATGATCGCACTCCCCTGAGCGCGCCAGAGAGGGGGGCAGTTCAGCTGCCCTCTGCCGCGGGCCTCCTGATGAGCAGGCTCCGCGCGCCGCGCCCCTTCTTGGCAATGTGGCGGGCACGCGCGCGCAGGAGAGGCAGCAGGCATTCGGGCCCGTACCTGCGCGAGCTCCTCAAGGAGTTAAAGGTAGAAAAAAGCAGGTCGTGGACAAGAAACAAAGAGAACAGCTGCTGACTAGACTGGCATGGCATAGTGCACAGCATACGCGCATCGAGGCTCTGATTCAAATATTCGACTGGCAGGAAAGGCAAAACAGAATGGAGCAAGCTCAGGACATGAGGGCAATCGAAGTAATGCTGGACGTGGTCGCCGCCTGTGGCCAGGCAACCGAAACGGCAGGTAAGACGGCCTTACCTATACCTGGCAGAGGTCGCCCACGCGTTGCAGATGGTTTTGAGAATGGCCGCAGCCACAAATGGGCCGACGCGCGTGCAAGCAATTTGGAGCCTGAGCACCGCAAGGTCGATACTAGAGGCATCAGCAAAAGGAAAAGCGAACCGAATTCGATTGCCCAGGAGAAAACTCGCGGAGCTACAAGGGGCCTCAGAAAGTAATTTCTTCAAAATCTGTCTCTGCAACTCGTGAGTGTCCTCATCGAAGTGGTTCCACGGCAGGGCAGTTAGTCGCTCGTAATTGTGAATCAGGTGGAAAACAATGGACTCGGCACGCCATGCCGGGTATCGCTTGACCATCAGAACATCCAAGTCCTCTTCCTCAAGCTCATGAAAGCGCTTCCGAATGCTATCAAAAACCTTAGACCGAACAGCGACCCGATACATGGCAGCCTGATTCTCCAGCACTAGGTTGCGCGGGGCAATGGGCCAATGCAACGCAGACGAGAGATGGCGGAGAAGATCAGTAGGGATGCTGTAGAAGGGGCATGCGGTGAGAGTCTGCAAACCTTTGGTTTCCATGCGAAGAGCGTCCTGCGATATGTAACATAGCTGCATCACGAAGGTGAGAACCGAGAAGGCCAAGGAGTTATATGCATAGATACTTTGAGTAAGCCCAAGACGAAGCGACCGAACATGACGGACACGATTAATATATTTCTGGAGCGGAGCGGACCAGGATTTCTTGTAACCTCCAGGGCCCAGAAAGACACCCAAGACTTTGCCGCTAGTGCCGTGCATAAGCGAGCGAACGTTGGTGCGAACGGACTCGAACAGGGCGAAATGCTGGTCGTCTGGCATCTCTTGCACGTGCACGATCATACACTTGGCAAGGTTCAAGAGCAGGCCAGTGCAACGGCTGGACCTAATAACATTCTTCAGCACAATCGGAACAGCGAGCAACAGGTTGGATGCCGAGATCTGGATGTCATCTGCAAAGGCACGAGGGGTAGCACAAACAGGAGCTAGCAAGTTAGATAATCGGCGCAGCAGCGGGTCGATGCATAACGCAAATAAAGCACCTGACAGCGGACATCCTTGTTTAATGCCTTGGGTGATCGAGTAGCCTGGAAACTTCTTTCCTGCTAGGCATATGTGTGTGTAAATACCGGTGTATAGGAACCGAATGGCATTCACGATATACATGGGTATGTTCATCATGATTAGCACATCTATCATCCAGTCGTGGCGCATGATGATGATGATGATGCTGGTGTTGATGATGAGGACGGTGTCCCGATTATGATGATGTTGGTGATGATGATGTTGTTGATGTTGTTGATGATGACGATGATGATGACGTTGATTGTGATAGCGGTTGTGATATCGATAGTGAGATCGATAGTGAGACCGAATGTGATATCGATTGTGAGATCGATTGTGAGATCGATAGTCAGATCAATTGTGAGATAGATCGAGTGAGATCGATTGTGAGATCGATCGAGGGAGATCGATCGAGCGAGACCGATACTGAGATCGATAGTGAGATCGATAGTGAGACTGATCGAGTGAGACGTTGGTTCCTCCCCCCCGAACCTCCTTATCACCCGAAGGGTGGTCGTATAGGTATCTATATTCATATATATATATATATATATATATATATACTGAAACCACGCGCGCGCGCTTCGCGCGCGCTCTTGAGGCCTCTTGGAGAACCTTTTGGGAGCCTCATGGGGACTCCTGGGGCCTCAAGGGGCGGAGAACTTCAAATGTCCGTCGAACCCCCCCCCCTCTGGGCCCCTTCATGGGGCGTCCTGGGGCCTTTTTCGGCCATCTGGGGGCCCTCTGGAGCCGTCTGGGGACCACCTTGGGAGCCTCTTGGATCGCCTTGGGACGATCCGCGGGGCCTCTCGGGCCGTCTTGGACGCTGCGGAAGCCCAAGATGTGAATATGGGGAAATGGAGCTATATTTGCATCTTGGAGCTCTCTTGGGAGGACTCTTGGGGGCCTCTTGGGGCGTCTGGGGGGGCTTTTTGGCGGTGTTGGAGGCACCTCTGGGGCCATCTTGAGCCGTCTCGGCCATCTTGGAGGGCATCTGAGCCGTCGTGGAGCGGGAACGAGAGTTCCTGGAGCCCCAGCACCGCCATGGGGAACGGGGCTGAACCCTCGCCCCTGGGCCTGTAACGCCGATTATGTGTATGTCTGTCTGTCTGTCTGTCTGTCTGTCTGCCTGTCTGTCTGTCTGTCTGTCTGTCTGTCTGTCTGTCTGTCTGTCTGTCTGTTTGTATGCATGCATGTGTGCATGTGTGTATGTATGTATGTATGTATGTATGTATGTATGTATGTATGTATGTATGTATGTATGTATGTATGTATGTATGTATGTATGCATTTCTGTATACATCTACATCTATATATATATATATATATATATATATATGTAGTTGTGTATTTCTAGACACACGCATTTGAAGAAACCGAGCGGCATACCAATCGGCAACCTCCCCAGGCCGAAAGCTCGCCAGTACGGAGGCGGATGAGGAATATGGGAACGCAGGGAGGGAGGAAGTTGATGCAGCGAAGGGGCACTGGGAGAGAGTCAGAGGGAGGAGCTGGGATCGGAGCGATGCGCGCGCGAGGGCGCGCCCACATCCACAGGGGGCAGCGCAAGCTCTTGTCGCTCTCCTGCGCGAGAGGCGGAAGTGCATTCGCAGAAAGCGGAGCCTGATACGCACATGGACATACTAACAAGTACTGTGCGTCCTCCCTGGAGGCGTGCATCCGACCCGAGCATGTAGCATAACAACACTGTAGCATGTCGGCTCTCGAGCGGAGTGGCCAGAAAGCACCCGCCACGGCGCTCATTCCTACACAGTCAGAGCTGGCATGATGTTGCTCCCATCGTACTTCAGGACCGCATCCAAGAAATAATTTCGAGCACCTAAAGTGTCGAAACAGTGTCGGGCGAGTGTCCCCCAGGGCTCAACACGTGAAAACCCTAGAGTTTCGGCACTTTTCTGGTGCTCGAAATTCTTTCTGGCGGTCAAGCCTAAAGCAGGTTGGAACATCATAAAGCTGGCAGTAAGGATGAGCGGCATAAGGTTGCAAGCCCCTCGGGCGCCCACGCCGAGGCCCGTCGAGCGCAGGGCCGGCGGGCGAGAGAGGCCAGGGGTATCGGGTCGGGCGAAAGGGGGGGATAGCAAAGGGGGGGGTTGAGAATCAGCTCACGTAGCTGATTTTCCTCCCGGCGCCTCCTGGCGCCAGGAGGCGGCCATGTATCGAGGAATGGGCTCCTCGGTGGGGCCGAAACCAGCTGCGTGCAACACATTTCGTACCCCCCCCCCCCTTTCCCAATCCTTGGGCGCCCGAGTTATCCGGGGTAACTCGGGTCCAAAACTCGGGTTTGGGTTCCCGAAAAAAGGAACCCGAGTTATCCCTGACCCGAGTTACCCCTGATGATTCGGGGCTCTGGACGCCCGAGTTATCCGGGGTAACTCGGGTCCGGGGTAACTCGGGTTTGGATTCCCGAAAAACGAACCCGAGTTATCCCTGACCCGAGGTACCCCTGATGATTCGGGGCTCTGACCCTTTCTTCCGGCCCGAGGGTGGACCGAACAGGCAAGGAGGCAAGGGCACCCCTGGGACGGCTGCCCGTCCTCGCTGCCGGTCTCGACTGCACGAGGAGGGCCACCCGGCGCGCGCGTCGCCCCTCGATCCCTCCTCGATCCCTCCTCGATCCCTCCTCGATCCCTCCTCGGCTCTTCCTCGAGGGATCGAGGAGGAATCGAGGAGGGGTCGAGGAGGGATCGAGGAGGGATCGAGGAGGATCGAGGGGGGGGGAGGCGGCACACACACAGTAGACCAGGTGTGCTGGGACGACGCCGGGGTGGTCGTATAGGTATATGAAATCAGCTCCTGTGGTCACTGATGTACTTACTCGGCTACCATATCACTGCTAATACCTCGGGCTGGCCCGAGCATCCACAACCAGCAGTATGGCAACCACGGGCCCCCTCGAGCTTCCAATGGGACCACATCCAAGCTCTTATGGCGGCCCCACCTTTGACAACAGTGGTCTCGATCAGTGCATCCACCAGGACCAGGACCCCACTACCATCAGCAAGACTCCCACGAGGCTCTTGGGCATCCGACTCCCTGGGCTCTATCAGAGGTTCCACGGCCGTTGTTCCCACCCGAGGGGCACCCATCACACTCTCTTGGGCAAGCCTCAGAACGGGGCCTTCAAACCCAGCTATAAAAAGACCTACCTGCCACGGATGAGTCGGGGACTTACAGAGTATGTGTGAATCAGTCGCTGCATTTTTTGTGAACCAGGTGCTGAGGAAGAGGGGCCGAGCGCGGCAGGAGGCAGCGCGGAGGAGGCCAGAGGCGGACGAGCTGGATGCGGGGAGCGAGCAGTGGCGGCGCGCACACGGCATCGCGATCGTCGTCGCCGTCGCCGTCGTCGTCGTCGTCGTCGTTCCTCGTCCCCCTTCAGGGTCGGCGGCATCGGCCGTGAGGCCTTCGCAGTCAGAGTCCGCGACCTCCCCATCTTGGAAACTGGCAGGCCGAAGCCGTGCATCCCCGCGGCGCGGGCGAGGGAGTGCGCTTCGAGGGGGCGGCCCCCCGCTGCCACCCGAGAGGCCCCGGGGGAGGGGGCTCCGGGACAGGGGGCCTCTCAGAAGCCACCATCGGCTTCTCGGAGGCCTTCTTGGAGCCCTCCAGGCCCTTCTAAGAAGGCCCCCGCCTTCCAAGAAGCACCACGCCTTCACAGGAGCCCCTCCCCCCCCCCCCTCGCAGCAGCCGTTGGCGAGGCGCCGCGCGCCACTCCTGGCTGAGGGCCGGAGGCTCCAGGCGGCGCTTGCACTGAGGCGGAGGCCTTGCTTGGTCGTTGAGGACCTGGGCCTGGACCAGAACCTAAACGGCACCACCCCACCTACGGCCCCACGGGCCGTAGCGTACAGTCGGGACGTTGACCTGGGAAACCCCAAGTAAGGATAAAGGAACGAGGCCCCTTTTCTCCCATCAGTTAAAG